CTCGTTATCGCTAATCGTATCTAAGTTACTAATCCGTTCTATAAGATCTTTCGTCTGCTCTCGGTCTTTACTAAGGATCTCCTATAAAGTTAGAGTACTAAGAAGCGCTTAGGAAACCTCTATAGCCTCCTAGGCGATAAGAACTCTAGTATCGTACTTATCGTCCCGATAGCGAAAACGAGATACTATTAATCTAGAGAATATTACTACGGTATATTAGCGATTGAAACGACTTTAGTATCGAGCGATACTGAAATCGCGCTTATACCTAACTCCGGCGGTAGGAATATAGAGAATATCCCGCGCTATCAATACGAGAGTAGGGTACTTAGACTCTATTAAAGACTATGTCTTTAGTACCTCGAATAGATCCCCTTTATCTATATTAGCATCTAAATAGTCGGCGAGCTCGTTATCCTCGTTAGTACTACGTCTTTAACTTTAAGAAGACTCTATACTCCTACTAAGAGTAAAGTCGATATAGCCTTTATACCGACTCCTTCTAAAACGGCCCTACTAGGTAGAGGTACTCGATAATAAACGATAGCTCTTCTCCTACTCTGCCCTTAGCTTACCCTCGTAATACGTATAGTAACTTTTATCCCTAAAGTCATCGCGTACCTAGAACTTCCGCTTAAGGCAGGGGGTAAGGAGGATACTAATACCGTAGTAATCGCTAAATCGATCCTAGGTATCTTAATAATATTTCTCTAGCTTAGCCTAAGCAGCCTCGTATATCTAAAAGATATCCTTCTTCTAGGGTATCCTCTTATTCTTGAGTCGCTTTATCGCCTCCTCTAGAATATCGAAAAGCTTGTTATAGTATATAAGGATAAGGTAAATCGTTAGACCTTTCATAGTTCTAATTACCGCTATCGCCGCTATAAATAGTTTCGTAAGGTCGATAAGGTACTCTACCCTTTACTATTCTTCGGAATCGATGCCTATATCTTTACTTAGGTCAAGTCGCTCGATATAAGATTTAATAACTACTTAGAGTCTACTAAAGCGATCGAGTATTAACGTTATTAAGGACTACCTTGTCTTTACGTCTTAAACGACCCTTAGGATACGATCTTGAACGCCTTTCTACCGACGGTACTTTACAAATAGCTACTTCTTTTAAAGCATCTCTTTCTAGAGGTCGATAAACTGTTCGAACCTTTAGGAGCTTAAGTTAATAAAGACGCAAAGCTTCCGGATCTAGAGATTAAGATTAGCTAGAGTAACGAACTACCGACTATAATTGCCGACTACGCGAGTCGACTATACTTTCGAGCTAGAAGGGTTTATAGTTTATTAGGCATAGATACTAATCTTATCTTTAAAAGAAGATAGGGTATACTATTAGCTTAAGGACGGCTGATTTGCTTGCTCTATACTCTTCTTCTCTATAATATCTTTCTATCCTTATCGTAATCCTAGAATTCGGAAAGGTCGTTTGTAGGACAAAGCTCTAGGCGGTCGAAAAAGGCCTTTAGAGGAAGTTAAGTAGTATAGGCGAAGTAGGGAAATCGCTCCGGACGGCTACCTCGATTATACTCTATAATTGCCTCCTCCTCTTCCTCTCCTATCTCTAATTCGGGACTAGTCTCCGTATCTAGATAGAGAGGTAG